CCCGCTGCGGTGACTGCTGCAGCAGCTTTCCATTTACAATTTACAAGCCTGAGTTTGCCCCACCTCATTGGACAAGGTCCTTTCTGCTTCAGCAACCACATATAGTCGGGGGGTGGGGGCGAGGGTTTGCATGCACGCACGCACGTTTTGAGGTTAACCAGACAAGCTGCTTTTGAGATCTCCGACTCATGAGTCCCCAGAGCTGGCTTCTGGCCTGAAACGACGGGCTTTTGGAGGGTTTCAGGCCTGCTTTCAAAATCTCATGCCATTGGGTGCGGCTATGGACCTCATAGTTGCCGCACCACAACTGAGACAGTGGCATCAAATAGATTAGAAGGATGGCTCCTGCCAACATAGGCTACAGCAAAGGCAGCTTTTGGCACCTGGAATCCAACTGTTGTCAAAAGATACTTTGTCAGGGATAAGGTGCCACAAGTCCTCCTGTTCTTCTTTTTGTCAGGGATAGTTTACTTTCAAGATTTCAAACAATAAAATATACATGTAACACCATATGTAATATTTGTTTCTCTGTGTAAGAGTGTGTGTGTGGTATGTGCATTCATTCATTCCAGAGGAAAACCTCAGGCTTTTCCATTCCTGGGCATAGGCAGCTATGGGTGTGCTTACACTACTTTTGGAAAAGCTGTAATGCTCCTTTCCCCTTCTCATGCAATCTTACTTACCAGGATCAAAGAAAAATCTGAAACAAGAATTAATAGCTAGCTAATCTTATCCCTCAGTGGGAGAAGAATCGGACTCTCTGGCCATATTCTAATTCTATTACCGTTAGGCATGTTGAATTAAATCCATAGGACTACTCAAGGAGTAAGGAACTAGGCACAGTGAGTAAGGGTGGCAAAATCTGGCTCTATTAATGTTTTGTTTACTCCTACTGCATTTTGACTCTATTGTGAGGGTATTTCAAGGTCACTTCCTCTGAGTTTCTTTTTCAGATGCTGGGATCAGTTCCAGCACAACTGTGAAACAGATGAAGAACTTAGGAAAAGAATTAAAATACCTACAGAGAATACTTTATGTAGCACTGTGAGCCTAACCAATACCCTATTCCCTTGTCAGCCAAATAATTTCTTAGAAAAATATTTCTCAACATCAGACATTTTAGTACTTTATAGCAGTAGCTGTCTGTATTAATTTTGTGTATTTATTAAAATTACAAAAATAAAGTACCTGATTTGTCTGTAAACATAGCACACAGTAATACTTAGTTGCACAGTGCAACATTTTCAAAGGGCTGAAAAACCATTAACTATTTAATCCACATCTTTTATTAAGTGAGTATTCTGTCCATTTCCGATAATGAAAATGAGAGAGATCCACACAGCATGGAAACACAGAGCCAGGGAAAAAATTCCGGAGTTTTTGATTTGCAGTCAATCAACTTCTCATTTTGTCAAATTATTGTCTCTTTCCACTTGGCTGTGAGCAAATATGATAAAGACAATAATTTTAATGTCTAATAGAATAATCCTGACTAGAGCATTCAGCATAGTTGCTGTATCACTTGGAAAGTGACAGTCCAGTGAAAGCTCAACACCAGTTCTGGCTGAAGAAAGTTAAATGATGGTCTGGGAGGATTATTTGTTACACTGCCAGGCTTTTCACACTATGAATGGCTTGAAATAACTTCTGGATTAACTGCTTCCCCCACCACCTCCTCAACCAACACTCTGAAAATTTTGTCAACTGGAGAATGTATTGTGGTCTCTCACATATTCTGTGTGTTTTTTGTTTTGTTTGTTTTTAAACACACAGTTGTACAAAATCTTAAGTGAAATAAAGAGAGATCATTAATGGTTTATAGCCATGGCCATATGAAAGAGTAAACATGAACATTCACATAGAAATATAACATACCTCAATAGTCTGTAACATAATATAACACGGGTGTGGTGCACACCTATGTGGAAGATGATTCTACTCAATTCCTCTGGTGGTGCTCATGTTGCTAATTACTTTGGACCTAGTAGTTTGGAAGGAGCTTTGGGAGAGAAAATCTTAAGCATTACCTTGTAGATACCCTCATATTTTTCTGTTGGGGGTGTGTATGGAGTTTGTTCACAAAGGCCTGCCCCAAAACCTACGAGAGGCCAGAGCCATCTGTATGGAAACCCTATAACTCTGGCCTACAGGCAGCTCCAGGAATTTTTCTCTTGCCTGTGCCAGTCCATTGAGGGTGGTCGTAGCTATGTAGAAAATAAAATGCTGCCCCTGGCTAGCCGTACTATCTTTTCTGCTCAAATTCTGCAGGGCTAGATGGGAAACAATGTGTGGCTAGCTGTCCTGGCCCTTAATTCATCCATACCCCCAGTTAGCCTGTCTCCAATCCTTTTCTCTGTGTAATCCTACACTTGAAGAGTGCCCTTTGCAGGGCACAAAGGAGAGATGGTGCCAGGGAGATGGCTGATGCGCTTTGGTACAGGATCTGTGGGAGTTCTGTTCAGGAAGAGTCATTTTTGCACACACCTGGGAAGGACAATCTAGGCCTTTATTTTTAATGCTCAAGTAGTGGGGCTGAATAGTCAAGTTGTCATAAATGAGTTTCCTATCCTGCTTTAACAATGAGTTAACAATCATAACAAAATCATTATTATTAATATGAAGCAAAAGGTTAAAAGGAAAACTGGCGTAATTGTACCTTAAAAAGCTAAATATATCTCGGTATAGCTTTCTGTATGGTATCCCTTTATTAATAAAGAAATCAATATACTATTTCAAACTAATAAAATCAACACAGTTTTAGAAATACCTGCTCGTGTCACAGTAGCTCTAGTCAATAGCCCTGATTCAAGAAATATACTTAGGCAGGAAGGGTGCTTTAAGCCTAGTGAAGTACATGTGTTTTAGGCATGTACTTAATTTTAAAAAGAGATGCATACACTTAAGTGCTTTCCTGAATCAGAACCAATGAATGGGAATGTTATCCCTCAGTGAACCCTGACAGCTTATACTTTCCAGAAGAGGTTTGCTCATGGAAAATTAAGCAAACACTTATGCACATTAAAAAAACTTTACTCCAGTGAGAAATATCATTGAAGTCGGCCTGCAAAGTATGATAGGATTTAGTTGTCATGGGTAATTTCCTAGTTAATTGTAATCCAAAGGGGATTGAGATAACTAAATCCACAAGCAGAATTCTATCTCTAGCTAAAATCATAGGCCAAAAGAAAAAAATGGGCTGACTGTGATTTTCTGATGTAGATTTTATGCAACAGTTGAGCTATATTTTTAATATACAGTACCTCATCCATACTCCCATAGGGTATTATTTAAATAGTTTTACAATAGTACTGTATAATACATAGAATTTGGGCACATGGAGAGGAATATAGAACTCATGTATTAATATATGGGAGCACAAAATTTATTTTGCTCAAACAGCTCTGTACTGCACATGCTGGTCCTGATTCAGCAAGCACATGCTTAAACATTGAAATTATGGGCCTGTTCACAGGCTTAACGCTAAGCACGTGCTTTATAGGCTCAGGCTTAGATTGCTGAGAAACTTACAGGCTCAAGTCCATTAAGGACTTGTCTACACAGGGAAATTTACTGATACAATTCTATTGGTATAACTTCCCATATGGACACACTTTTTCCAGTTTAGCTTATACTGCTGCCAAAGCAACAGACTAAAGCAGAAAAAGACATTCTTATTCCAGAATAAGTGTGTCTACATGGGGAGTTATACTGCTATATTATAAATAGACTCGTACAATTATGCCAGT